TTTAGTATGATGTCTGCAGATTTTGTGGAGTAACTTCCCTTCTAGTCATGCTTCTATCTCCAAGAACTCCGAAGCCATTGATCCAACCATATAACTTAATCCTAGACCCATCACCAATTTTCCATTTAAAACCCCCAGAGAAGCACTGGTTTGCCCTGTCAATAACATTTCCAATGGATACCATATCTTTCCAATAAGGAGAGACTCCAGAGGGCCTTACAATTGATTTCTCTTTTTACCAAACCGCAAAATTAGATTTCTCTCTCTCTCTCTCTCTTTATTTTTCAAATTTGCTATGTGTCCTGTATTTAAATTTGAATTCTCATTTATAATTTTATAGTACAAATTATAAAAATTAAGACAGTTAGATAGAATTCTTATTTATGATTTTATAATACAAACTGTAAAATTAAGATAATTAAATAAAAAAGACTCATTTCTGTACTCAAAAAACCTACCTTTGTTTAATAATCAATTGATCATTATGGAGCAAGATTGCACAATATTTTTTTTTAAAGAAATTGACAAGAAATTTCATTGAAATAAAGCATATGTACAGGAACTCCCAAGCCTGCACGGTAGTTTTATTATCTGCTAAACTCTTTTGTAAATTAAATCGTTGTGTTAGGTTATCAAAAAGTTATTGTTTCCTTCTATCAAGAAAATTTTAAGTGTGTCTTGATTTTTTTTTTTTTTCTTCTCTTTGGGGGGAAGGGTGCGCAAATATGATACTTATTATAAGATTAGCTGAGTAGGTTTATTAATTGAAAAATCTTGATTTGGGGGGTCAATATCATGTGTTCAAACTCTTTTTTTTTTTTGGTATATTAGAACTTGATAAAATAGAAATCATTTAAACTTTCAATTTTGGCTCTAAATCAAAAAATTTAAATTAATGAATACTAACTCAATCAAGTTCTTGTTGGTGTGTTCAAACTCTTATTACTGTGCCAATTAATCTATTAACTCCTGAAGTCTTGAAGTTAAAAAATAATAATAATATGGATAGTTCTAATCTGGCCCAAATTAAAGAATATTTCAAGCTACTGCAATCCACCCATTTCGGAGTAGATATATAAATATATATATTTTTTACCACGTCGGAGGAGATAACTAATTAAGAGGAAAAAAAAAAAAAGATAAAAAAGCAAAGGGCATCGGATATGTGATGGTCAATCAAATTTAAGAGATTTTTAGCTAGGCAAAACCCTCCGATAAATTTTTGAATTTATCCTAAATTTTTAATTAAACTCTTAAATTTTAATTAAAGTAAATAAACTCTTAAACTTATTAATATATGCAATTTAACCCATTTTATTTACAACAAACTAAATATCTATTTGTATATCTCTTGCGTAGATAAAATATTGATATATTATTGCTTAGATGGTGAGTATTGACCTTATTCAAGCAAGTAAAGTATAAATTGATGTTAAGTCTATTATAAAAAAGTGAGTTAAATTGCTTAAATTGATAAATTCAAGAATTTATTTACTTCAATGAAAGTGTAGGGACTTAATCAAAATTTTATAATAACTTCAAGGACTTAATAAATAGGATTTCACCTTCTACCAGTTGTTGCAAGTAGGGGGCCATTTGCAGAGGTCCTTAGCATCAAATTTGAATGCACTTAACTACTTTACCAGGGTCTTTACTATATACATTCACAAGAAAGTGAAACACAGCCTAATCAATCAAAAGACGGCAGTCAATTGATAATACATATGGTCCTTGTTCGTTTCAAAATTTGAAATTAAAAACATTAATTTAAAATTTTAAGTTGTTGCCAACCTAGACTCA